AAAAAAAAAAAAAAAAAAAAAAAAAAAAAAAAAACCATATCCTCATGATCTTATCTCTGCTGGCTTCGTCACCGGGTGACTTATTTCCAGATTCCCTGGAAGACCTAGGGATTGAAGCGAATCCAAATAATTCCTTGTTTCCCGGACATCCAGGCTGTGCAAGTCCAGTGCCAGGCCCCCGGCACACTTCATCACTGGCCCTGAAAACTGCTGTTCCCCCTCTTCAGGTGACCTGTCCTCCCTTCAAAGCAAAAGGCTGACCAGACCAGTCCAGGCTGGGGTAGGCAGATGCTTACACAGCAGACGTGGTCCCCCTGACCCCAGGCTGCGTTAACAGTGACCCCGTGCCTGCAGGGAGGTGGCCAGCCAGCTGGGAGCAGAGCACAAAGGATGCCGTTGCATGATGTGTATGACTGTTTAGAGACACACTGACTGGGTGCTAGGAGCTAGGAGAATGAAGGGTCAGGGCCCAAAAGACCCAAGCCCAGCCCGCACAGAGAAAGGGAAGCACCCCTAAACAGGAGAACAAGTCCTGTGAAGTTCACCTCCTGGATAGGAGCCCATGCCCCTGCCCCATGAAAAGCTGAGCCAGGTGCAAGTCCCGAGCCCATAGCCAGGCGGTGCATCTCCCTTACCTGTACCCACACACCTGTCCTAGGCTGTCCCTGTCCTGTCCTTCACTCCCTGTGCCTCCCTGAGGGACCTGCCTCCTTGTTTCAGCTGTGACTCCTCCTCCTTTTTCTAACCCAGGGCTAAACTGGGCCTGATGCACATAAATACCTAACCCAAGTGGATAAGGAAGGCCAGGGGAAGGGTGGACCAGCTGCTGTGACTCTTTCTTGCTCCTGGAGGAGCTACTGATGGAGGCCTCTGGAGCCCCAGATACATTCCCACACTCCCAGAGAGTGAGTTCGGTGGAACAACCCTGCACACCGTAGTCATATGAGTGGCTACTCCGATGCCTCCACTTTTAGGCTGCCAAAATCTTGCTGCCCAGGGTGTTTCCTGCAGAAATGACCAGGTTCTCCTGGAGAGAGGATGGAAAGCCTCCTCCTCGTCACAAAGTCGCAGAGTAAGGGAGCTAATATTGGGGGAAATAATTAACTGTGGTGATCTAGATAGCGGCAGAGATGAAAGACATTGGAAGTGGGGGGAGGGGTGCAGTGGAGGCAGCGGCCTCTGAAGTCGGCTTCAAAGGCTTCTGCGCCGCTGCCGTGATGAAGTTACAAAAATAACGAGAACTGAAAACTCAGAGCTACAATTGCCCCCACCCAGCCGTCTCAATCAACTGCCAATGACTTGGTCAAACCCCAGCTCAGCTTCCAAGGCCTTCCACGGCTGCCCCATGCCACCCCTGCTGACCCACCTCCAGCCAGCCCCACACTCCTGCCCCAGAACCCTGGCCAGCCGCAGCTCTGGTCTCCGTGGCTCCCTCAATCCAACAGCCTTCTTGCTTGCTTGGCCAGCTCCAGACATTCCACACAGCTTCTCCGCAAATCACCCACGGAAGCGTCCATTAATGGAGCACAAACTCTGCTTACAGACAGCAGGTTTCCCTGGCCTGCAGAATTTGGAGCACTATGTGTACTCTTTTTCTTATTTTACAAAGAAGAAAAATGGTATCAGAGGGTTTGAGTGACCCACCTACCAGCTAATGAATCCAAGAACCAGGGGCCATCTGTTCTCAAATCACCCCTTCTGGTCCCTTCCGTCTGTGCATTGTGACCAAAGGTACCACTGCCTAAGTCTGGCCAGAACCTGATGAGGAGAGGAGAACCTCAAAACAGGCCCATTTGTGGTGAGGGGGCCAGTGGAAAGGTTTGGCAGACCTCTGGAAGCCCCATGCTTGCATCTCTGTGTGATAAACACACAGCGCAGGGTTAACAGGATGGACTGTTGAGTCAGGAACATCCAACATGCTGGCTCTGCCGCTCAGCAATTACGAGAACCCGGACTACTTGAGTCCCTTACCAATCTGCCCAATGGTGATATCGGTGACTTCATGACCACGACAGAAGTGGGACTCGGCACACAGACCGCACTTCAGCCCTCACCACTGTGTCCTGCGAGAATTCCCACTCTACCCTGTGTGTCACCGTCACCTTGTGCACGGACCACACTCAGTTCTCTTCTGCATCTGAACTGCCTGAGCCCCTCTGGAATCTGGGATGAGGACTGTCCCCTCGCTTTCTTCTAGCATGCTTCTCTGATCACACATCTCCTACAGGTGGGCTCCTTAGTTCTGTACCTGGCATTTTCCAGTGCTTGGTAAAGCTCTCTAAGGCAGTCACAAGAGGAGAGAGAGGAGTCAGCAATAAGGAGAAGGGGAGGGAAGTCCTCAAGAGCAAGGGCCCTCTTTATAAGCAGCCCTATACTTTCGAGCAAGGAGCTTAAGCCTGGCCAACAAGATGGCTATTAGCTCCATGACACCATGTAGAGCCCATCTCTAAGACTAAAGCCTGGTGGGTGGCCCTCTATAACTTGGGTTTTAGTCGCCTCCATTCCCAGACTCACAACTGGGTTCATGAATCATCCTTTACCAGCTCCCTGCCAACCCATGAGGATCTGTCCCACTCACGGTAGGCACCTCAACAGAAACTGACAGGTGATCAACAGAGGTAGGCCTGTTTTTTATTTTATTTTTTTATTATTTTAAGTGTGCTTTAAAATAGGCCCAGCTGGAGTAAGACTGTGAGAAGCCCAATCTGGTATCGCCTTGCAATACAGGCCTTCTCTGAGACGCTAACCACTAGGTGCCTTTCCTAGTCACGCATCAAGCTGCACAGGCAGCGAGGACACTGTGAGCGTTAGAGAGCATTAGAGACATGCTCTACCTGGAGCTGTCTGACTGGAGACCTAAGCAGCTCCTCAACGCTGGAGAGTCAACAGACCCAACAAGGTGACGACCGTCTCCAGATACAAACCTGGCAGACCCCAGATAACAATAGGAAGAACTTCCTTGGGCTGGGGCTGAGGGCAGTCAATCGTGTGTACTGGAAGGAGGCTTTCACCTTTCCATCGGCTTCACGTGAGATTGGCCAGTGTGTGTTTGAAATCCTGAAGCAGATACACAAATTATGAACTGCATCTTGATGACTGGGCAATAACTTCACCTGTAAAAAACGCTTGCCCCAGAAGCATGAAGCCCTGGGGCACTCCCCCGCTCCCAAAACCCACCTAAAAAAGCTGGACATGGCAGTATGTACCTATAACCCCAGTACTAGAGAAGTGGCAGAGATAAGGGGGATCCCTGGGGCTTGCTGGGCAGCCTCGTTGCTACAGGCACACTCACATGCACAAGTATGTGTGCACACACTGGAGTGAGCACACACACACTCATACACACCTGCACACAGCTGCATCTTCAGCAAGCAAGTAGTTCACAAAGACAGCAAGTAGGGGTGAGGCAGGAGGTGAAAAAGGAGCAGGAGAGGCCATTCCTCCTAAGCTTAGGGTGGGTCTCTGGCTGCCAGCCAGATACGACCTCAGGGAAAATCCCCTGCCCCTTACTTCAGTGAAGGTTCTAACCTCCAAAGAACTTTCCCATGCTCCTCAGGAGGCACACTTGCAAATTTTATTTATTGAAGATACAATACAACAGACACACTTAGAAGACAACAATCACCAAAAAGGGGACCCCTCCACAGGAAGCTTACCTAAAGCAACAGGAAAACACTACAAGCAAAAGACAGTATACAAGCATCTTGTTCAGTGTGAAGACACTCAGGGGGCTGGGGTGGGGGGCTAAGAGTGAGGAACCCGGGGGGCTGGGGTGGGGGGCT